AGGTGTTGACTTCGGCTTCAGTCATCTAACGGTTTGACTGGGGCTGGAGAATACACTGCCAAGGTGGCTCAAATGGCTGACAAGTTTGTTTTGGATGTTGGTAACAGGCCTTAGTTTCTTTCCACATGGACCTTTCCACATAGCTGTTTGATTGTCCTCAAATCCTGATGGCTAGCTTTTTTCGGAGTGAGCTATCCAAGAGCCCCAGGCAGAACCTGCAGTGTCTTTATGACCTAGCCTTGGAAGTCACATACTGTTACTTCCTCATTTTCTTGGTCACCCAGGTCAGCCCTGATAGAGTGAGAGGACTACATGTGGTTAAACTATACCAGGATCACTGCGAACTATCTTAGAAGCTGGCTACACCAAGTGGCATTAATTTGTGGTGTTATATTTAATCCATACTAGTCGGGCTGCTAAGGCCCTTTCTTCCTTTTATGTATTGTTTGAATGACTAAAGATAACTTTATTGTGATTTAGAACAGCTAAGCATAGGAAATATGTACAGTGGTAGTCTGTGCCTTGGATTTTAGTTAACTTAGCAGTTGGTTTTTGAAAGAGGTGTGGATAATAATTATTAATGCATATTTTTCTTAATGTTCTTTGTTAAACTTTTTAAGATTTTCTGAGAATAATACTCAATTATAAAAACTAATTATAAACAATAGCAATATTAGTGTAAGACAGTAGAATTCTAATAGAAAACCATTAAACAGTGATATTTGATATTTAATCAAGAATTTATAAAAATTATTCGTGGTATAACCTCACAATACAGAAGGGAGAATGAAAGTACAAGGAGAAATAGACAGTTCTTGGTAAAATATCCTTTTCTTCATGTCGTTTACTGATAAATGCTGATTTATAGAAAAGGTAACAGAAGTCCCTTACAAATTAAAAAGGTGGTTGTTGAAGGTTTGAATAACAAACACAATTAGCAAGTTACAATTGAAAGCCATATAGAGAACTTTGAACTCAGAAGGCAAAATATACATACTACTGTTGGGAAATATCTGAGGCTGGCAAAACTTCATTACTAAAACTGAACGAGGAAGACAAAAAAGAAAACTATAGGTTGTTCAGCATAAAAGCTTAAATAAAATATTAGTAAGTTATATTCAGCAGTATATTGAAAGAATAATGCACTATTTCCAAATAGGATTTATCCCTGGAATACAAAGAAGGGTCAACATAAGGAAATTTGTTGAAAGGATAGTTTTGAAAGTATTGTAGTAATTGTAAGGTTTGAGCAGTTG